AAAAACTTTCATCATTCATCAATAATTAACATTAATATAACGCTATATTGATAATGTACTCATTAAACTTACAATTAATTTAACCGAAGGGGGTGTACAGAGGCTTTGGATAATTAACATTTGGAAGAAAATAAGTTAAATTAATTGTAAGTTTAATGAGTACATTATCAATATAGCGTTATATTAATGTTAATTATTGATGAATGATGAAAGTTTTTTTTTCTTAATGTTCTAAAATTTGTTTTGCGGGGCCCCCTGTGGTGAGGGTGTTTGGGGTGGCCAATAGGGTAGCCAGGATTCAGCTGGGGGTGGCCACGGACACTCCCAGCCACCCCCCAGCTCCGCCACTGTGTGAGACAATTGCCGGCGTTGCCTCGGTGTGGCTGCAGAAGGAAGGGCCGAGCTGCTGCTCAGCAGCCTCTTTATATGCTCTCCTGCTGTGATGGAAGGGGGGGCCCCCGCCTTAGTCTTCAATGTCCGACATTGCGTCAAACAGAGGATTTCAACATTTTACATTCATTGCTTACATCCACAGGCCTTTTCTCCTCCTTATCTCTTTCATAACTTTTAATTTATTGCATTGTGACGGCTGTAATTCGTTACTTTAATAATACTGGAAATACTTTACGGCAGTTATCATTTACGGTAGTTCCGGATGTTGTCATATACCCACGTCTGTAAACAAAACGTATTAAAATAAACTGTACCTTCATTTAATATTCAGCAATAATAATATCTCGACATCTATAGATGTAGTGTTAAAATCAGTAGGTTTCGGTGTGCAACACTCCGTGTCACTCCACTATATTCACCTCTATAGGAAAAGGAATACTAGCCACATGCTAAATGCTAACCGGAGATGAAGGACTTTCAGAAGAAAAGCTTGGCATTAAGATTGTGCGAGAACTTCTGTTTTTTCAGAATAAAACGGCATTTAAGCTGACGGTATGTTTAAACCAAATTATGCCATAAAACATTGATTTGAATTTCTAACACAGCCGAAGTAAAAACAATAAGTGTGGCTTGATATTGAGTAAGACAAAGGTTTATAATTCTGTGAGAATAGGTCTGCGGAGAGCATTTCTCCGCGATCGCAACTTAGCAGCCCGAAAATGGTTTACCCATTTAAACAGTCGTGGTAGATACCTTGTTTGTTTTAAACATCATGGATAGGCAAACAACAACGAATACTTACAGGTTGTGTACCCGAATCTCCCGCTGGTCCAAACAAAGTAGGAACAGCATCGTTCTTCAGTGCCCTACGCTGTACATATCCGGCATGAATCTCTGAAAGGTTTGTGAAGCTTTGTTTCGTGAAAGGCTGGCAGAGGGTATGGCCTCTGGGTATTCACACATCACAGTACCAAGGAAGTAAACAATGGAAAATGAGAAATCTCCAACGAGGCGTTTTGGGGCAGCATAGACTGTGTTAGAGTTTTACTCGCTACAGAGTGTGCTTTGAGGGTTTTTGACTCTGCAGACCGTTTACATGCATAAAACCTTCATAACACACAAGGGGGCGGGTAATAACCCGAAAAGCATGACATGGGATCTTTAAAGATTAGTTGATCGGCCGGAAATATCTTTCAAGAGACATTTGATGCAATACAAAATACCTCCTATACATTTTACAAAGTGGTGCTATTTCTCTACTTTGCCTGTGTTTATTATGGTCAGAAGGACAGTTTCTTGTGTATGCTCAAGAAGGGTTTCACCTACAGCAGGCCTCCTCACTCACGTTACAAAGGTTATTTTGAGACTAAAAGGTTTAAATTAAATTAAATATTTCTCTTTGAAGGCTTTCTTTTGACCCACAAAGTCACTGCCAATGAAAACATAGTTTAAAGAACATTTTGAACCCAATAGAAAATAATGACTCAGGGTCATTTCCCTACGCTGTGCAGCATTTCATACAAGGTGACATTGTGTCCTTGTAGTTATTGCCTCCTTTAGATAAACAACATTCATGTGGTGCTGACAATTTCATGGTATTTCATGTGTGTTTTTCATATCGCCATATGGGATGCCGATTACTTTCCTCTAAGTCAGTTCAGACAGAAAAACATCTCCTTGTCTGTGAGTCATCAGTATGAATAATGACACCTTGGGCTCAATGTTTGTTCATAGTTCCCCAAAAGAACAGCAATTTAAGGAAGGCAAAGTGAAGGACGGCCTGCTTCTCCCCCTCGAGTGTTTGAAGGGTGGCAGGCGGCGACAATACACACATGCTAAGCTGGGGAAAGTAATATATGTGCTGTGGGTGGAAAAATATCATTGGAGGGTGCATGTGTCCTCAACAGGATTAGAAATTTAAAGGAGAGAAAACACAAGCAAACAGATATTAGTCCTGAGCTGGAACGCTGCAGAGACTTACTATTTTAACCAGGAAAGCAGATTTACACATTTATATCCCTATTTTCGACTGTACTGTATGCCTCTGTGCACTGATCCATAAACAGTGTGTGTCTGTGTGTGTTCATTTCAGCACCACCTGCATCTCAGTCACCTCTCTGCGGCAGATTTTACACTTAACATGATAGAACCGCCTTTGGCAATAAATAACACATTTATCTTTACTGTACTTCGGGCAAGTATTACATGATCACTTTTCCTGCGCTAGAATATGTTTAATATGGAAAAAGCCAGCAATCCTTCAGGAAGCAGAAGCTACTGTAGCAGCACGATTTTAAGGATTGAGGAAAAAATGCTGGAAGATAGAGAAAAACATGGAAGATCAACAAAAAAAGGAAAAAAAAGGCTGCAGCAGTCAGTAAGTATTTGCGTCCCCTCCAGAGTTGCAGTTTCTGGGAGGAGGGAGAGGGTAGTGTGCATTTGTGCGTACAAGTGTCTGCCTGTCCATTTGTGTGTGTGTGGGTTTCAGCCCATATGTGTGTCTGAGGGCTGAGTGTGGAGTGGCTAACGGAGTGTTGATTGCCTGGCGGTAAGCAGGCATCAGTGGGTAATTGCAGCTCTACGGTGTAACAGCTCTAAAATGAAGACGCATTTCACATTCGATCACTGAGCGTGCACGTGGATGATGGAGGGTTAGTGAGCGCGCATGCAGTTTTATGGAGTCAACTTTAACATTTGGCTGAGTGATATTGAGCTGAAGGCCTTAAACTAAATGACACAGACACCTGACGTACCTGGCTTAGTATTTATAAGTGTTTCAGAGTTTAAAGGTTTCCTATCATGCTATTTTTAGGCATTTATTATGGGTCTCGGATATATAAAAAAAATATGAAAAACATGTCTTTGATGTGTTTTGCTCAAAATACCAAACACCATAAACCCATTCTCGCCATGCCTCATACCCCTCTATTTCATACCTGTTAGAGAAATGCTGATTCTGGGTCCTTAGCTTAGCAAAAAAAGAGAGATACCGAGAGATTCTCAGCTAAATGCTGCCGTGATGAAACGCCATATCATGTTCCAAACCACATCAAGGATTATCTCTGAAACATAATGGAGCTCAAATTATTTTTCTCTCGCAAAGACCATATTACTTCCAAAACGTTGCACATTGTTTCTGACATTTTGCATGATAGGAGTCCTTTAATTGCAAGCTGTTTTCAGTATGCTGCTGGTCCAAAATGCTACACGTGAAGGCCGTCCATACCACTGTAGATCCAGAAGAAACCCAAAAGGTGAAGAGCTAGAGTTTGAGATAATGCATCCCATCCTTCTTTCCTTCTGTTTTCTCTCCCTTTGCGCCTGGTTGAAGTCTCCCCTTGGTGAACCTTACTCGTGTTGCCAGGCGACAAGGTTGCCTGGGAGCAAGGCTTTGATGAACAGTCACAGTGTAATGGAGGTAGACCTGCCAACACACGGAACAAAGGGACGGACTGGCGGACAAACGTGTGTGTGTGTGTGTGTGTGTGTGTGTGTGTGTGTGTGTGTGTGTGTGTGTGTGTGTGTGTGTGTGTTGGTCTGCAGCCTGAGCGTGGCCACAAATGCACCCATGAAGTGGAGCCATTTTCCTGTTTAACATCATCACACAGTTGTATAGTTTTCAGTGCTTATTTATTCTTAAGAAATCATAAGCCTTGTATTTCTACTGCAGTGACCTCCTGAAGTCATCCGCTCCCTGTGTTTTCAAAATCTATTAAGTCATTTCACAGAAACATTCTGCTGTCTTGG